TGTTTTAAATGCCATGGAAAGTGACCACTTCCCCCCATCTAGGAAGAAATAGGAACCCCTCCTAACGGCAAAGGGAGATAGAGTCGGATAGTCCAAGGCAGTTCTTTGCTCTATGAAATGCTAAGCTTTCCTGTGAGGCTCCAGGGCATTTGAGACGGCTCCTGTTCCCCACAGTCAGAGGGTGAGGAGGGGCCTGACTAGTTTACGTCATTAGTCTCCATATTTAGGATCTCTCTCTCTGACCCAAAGTCTTAGCACCCTTACCTGTCAAAGGGACATTATAGCAGGTAACTATTAAAAAACACAACAATCATTACAACTAATTACAGTGTTTACACCTGCTTTGGAGATCCGAGATGAAAGACACTTCATAAAGGTAGATATTGGGACAGGTGAGCACTGCGATTAGTTAAGCAATCTTATGCATAATCACACACATAGAGCATTCTTCAGTTGCCACGAGGCTGGGTCATGGCAGCTTCCAGGCCCCTCCCAAATGCTGAGGTTCAGGGCATCTTTCATCTCTCTTCATTCAACTCATCACACCTAAGGCTCCCTGAGCTCACCCCTTCCCTGTGGAATGAGGACAACCCCAGCACCCAGCTTATAGGCCTTTTGTCCACACAAAAGCATTGTGAGTTAATTACCAGGCCCAGTGAAAAGTGTTTTAAAGACGTTGCTTTGAATCTCAGCTCTTACTTATTAGCTCTTAGCTCTGAGCAAATTGCTTCTCTTCTCCCTGTCTCATTTTCCTCATCTATAAAATAGGATAATAATAGTACTAAGCCTTGGAGGTGGCTTTGTTGATTAAATAAGATATTAGCACAATGCCTGGCACACAATCAGTGTCCATGACAGAAAAGCTATTACCAATATATTGCAATTAACTGGCACTTTCTCAGAAAATAGTTAAGCTACTTTCCCAGGGTTATCTAGGCTTTCTCTAGGCTGGAGACAGATAGTTTCTCTCTCTCTCTCTCTCTCTCTCAATCTCTCCATATATATATATATATATATATATATAGATAGATAGATAGATAGATAGATAGATAAAATGAGCCACTTTTTGTGCAAATAAAACTGGGTGGATGGATGTTCACCAAACTTTTAGACCTGGCTTAAAATAAAGGCTAAGTGGAACACAGGAATTCTATGGGAGCTGTACTTATAAGAATAGGCAAGCATCATCCAGAGTAGCTCAAACTGAAATAATAGTGTGTGGTCCATGTGAATCATTGATTAGGAAAGTAGTTCATGCCATATGAAGATGAGAGAGATGAGAGAGAGAGAGAGAGAGAGAGAGAGAGAGAGAGAGAGAGAGGGAGAGGAACTAAAGATAGAGGTCTTCAGGGTATGATATGAGAAGATGCTGTTTCTTACTGGGGCAACTCAATATGGCAGGAGAAGCAGCCACAAGACTTATTTCATATTAATTAGTGATTATTCTTAGCAGCTAGTTTAAAATAAACCCATAGGGAGGCTCTCTAAGTAGCCTGATTCCTCAGTTTGGGTGCTGGGTTACTTATGCTAAAAACGCGGGGAGAACAGACTCCTGTGGAATGGCCCTATGACAATCCCACCCCTCCCTGTGGTAAGTGAATGAGTCAGGACAGATGGACAGACGTCAAGGAGAATGAGGTAATTCAGCGGTATCCCTGCTCTTCCTGGGAGGACGTCCACAGTGCTGTAGAGCAGGGCAGCTGCTCCGTAACTCCCACGTGAAGGCATACCGAGTGCCCCTTTGGCCTTAATATGTTCCTTGATTCTTACAGCAGCGACAAGAGGCAGGCAATGCTAATGGTGACTTAGTCTCCCTACTTGACAACCATGAAAACTGAGGCTTGGTGTGACTGAGGGCCTTCCCTGAGCTTATACGAGGTGACCTGACCTGTGCCTAGTGGCCTCAAAGGATGTATCATTTCAAGAGCTGGGCAGATGGGCCTGATGGGAACAGTATCGGAACCTGGAAATAGGGGTTTGGTGGGAATGAGTGAGGCAGGGAGGGAGCAGGGACTGAAGTCACCTGTTCTTTTGACAGGAGAGACAGGTGGGTAAAATTCCCTTTGGCCTTCCTTGATCTTAGACGCAGCCAAAGCGCTCAGGCCCCAGGCATTCTGCCTTTTTAGTGGCCACTAACTGTGCTACAGGGCAACAGAGAACGCTCTGCTCTTGAGTTTGGGGTGGGCTTGGGGTGTGTTTCCCAAGACCAAGCCTGGGTGCCTGGGCTCCTGTGTGCACCTTGCTGGCCCCCCAGAGACCAGGGGATCAGCAAGGCAGGAAGACACCCGATCTTATCAGCTGTGATGGGTGGCCAGGTGGGTGGGGCAGCCTCCAACAGGAAGCAGAAAACAAGATCAAAGCAGGCCCTTTCTGTCTCACTTGGTGTCAGCACTGAGGGGCTCTGCTGCTCAACAGTTTGCACTTGTACGTGAATTTCATTTTTTCCACAGCTGTCAAATCAAATTGATTTTCAGTCATTTTAACCTGGGTAGGTTCAGCAAACCAGGTCCCCCAGGTGAAAAGCTAGTTTATCAAAGAAGTCATTTATCCAGTTCCTCTGCGATGGGGAGCAGAATTTCTGAGTGGCTTTTGGTCAACAAATCACCAATTCCAGAAGGTTCTGGTAACAGTAATCGTAATTACCTTTTATGAAGCATCTACTACATTGCTTTGCTTTGATCTTGTTTATACTGCTCCAACCATCCTTTGAGGTAGATGCTAGCTCAACTGAAGAGCACTTACTTCTCATGCGTTCTCTCATTAAATCCTAACGCTCCCATTCAGTGTGTGTCATTATCCCAATTATTTAGCAAATGAAACTGGAGCTCAGACAATCGCAAGGCAACTTGGCCGAAGTCGTGCGGGCAACGACAGAGCTGGGGTTCTGACTCAGCGCTGGGTGTTGCCAACACAAACGCTTTCCGCCTGTGCCTCTTGGACCCAGTCCTTTCTCCCTTATCACCTACCATGTTTGCTTTCAGATTTTCACTCACCTGGGATGGCAGGTGCAAGCGGATGCTCGGTTTTGACACAGGGACACTGTAAAGGAATTGAGAGAAAGACGGGCAGCAGAACTGAAATCCCCAAGGGAAGGGTGAAGTCTGTCAGCCATTTTTGAGTCCAGCTCTGCCCCATGTGGCCGGGGCCAGGGGGCGGGGTGCTTCGGCTGGACCCCTGGCACTCTCAACTTCTGCATCTTTGCCCAGATAGAAAAAGAAGTCCCATTCCTTCGATGGTCGCCGACAATAAACAATGTGTGCAAAAGGTTAGCATAGACCCTGGGATGTGCTTGGACCTCAAGAAGGGCCTGCTCTAGCGACAAGTTAACCAGAGACGGCTTTTCTGTTTGCTCCCTCCTTGCCAAGGAAAAATCACCCTGCCATTTGGCAGGAGGATCAGACTTCAACCCTCCCAACCTGGCGACTTTCCTGGGATGGGTGTGATCGGAGAATGAGTTTGAAATAGCTGTTCTCGTCCAATTTCTGCCACTGAAGTCAGGTCTGAGTTGCCTGTTTAAGGGTGGCCAGACTGAGCCAACAAAAATACAGAAATCCCAGTTACATTTGAATTTCAGGTAAGCAACGCATACTTTTCTAGTGTAAGTGTGTCTTAACTAGAAAACGCCTGTCTTCTCTGTGTTCTGGATGCGTCCCTGTGGTTAGCTGTTCTCGGCAGAGGGGAAGCCCCGCAAAAGGCTCCAACCCTGGACGTATCTGGCACCGTCCACTGTGGGTACTTGGATCTGGCCAAGAAACACAAGCAGCCCCAGGTGGACACAGCGTTGGTCGCCTCCCCTTAGTAGGGACATATGGGGAAACTGGAAACTGCAAATGTTGGCACAGATGATGACAAACAGGTATTTCCTGGGGAAAGGCTTAATGTGTTGGAGAGCGCTGCCATATTGGGTCTTTCTGGAAGAAGCTGTTCCTAAGTGTGGCTTTTCCACAATCTGCCCTTTGGGGCCCAATCATAGGGAAGTCTCCAGCTTGACAAAGCCTTGACACAGGCTCCCGAGGCAATGCTTGCACTGCAGGCGCATTCTTTCCTCTCCTCTCCCTCTCTCCCCTACTTCTCCTGTGGATTTCTTTCTTTTTTCTCAATGTCTTTCTTCTTCTCTCCGTTCCTTTCTGCTGTGTAATACAAGGCAGTGAGGGGTTCTCAATTGCACCGAGTTTGTCTCCAGGAGATACTGGGCAATGTCTGGAGACAATTTTGGTTGTCACAACGAGGAGAGGAAGTGTTTCGGCATCTAGTGGGCCAAGGCCAGGGATGCTTCTCAACATCCTACAATGCACAGGACAGCCCCACTACAAAGAGTGATCCAGTCCCAAATATCAACAGTGCCAGAGCTGAGAAACCCTGTGACAGGGTGATGGAAACATCTCCCTTCTCTTGACATGGACTTTCTGTGACCGTAGGAAAATTCCCCAGGCTCTCTTGGCCTCAGCTTTCTCACCTTTGCGAGGTGAGGTCTGAAGAGGTGGCCCTGAGGACCTGCGCGATTGCACCATGCCGTATACCTGAGAAGCTGTTCCTCCTGCTTCCAGTCCCAGCTCCTGTGGTCACCATGGAAGATAAGAGCACCTGAACAGGGACCCCTTGGTGCCTGTGATATGTCTTTTTTGCTTTCCTAGCTGTGAAGGCTCAGGCAGCCCCCACCCATCCCCACCCTTCTGGGACATTCCCCCTGGCCCTGTGCCAGCACGGCTGTCAGGATCGGATCGGCAGGCCCTCACCTGAGGCCCTCACATGAATTCCGGCACACTTTGCCTCTATTGCCCAAGGACTGGCACTGGATCAAAGAGCTCTGGTTGGAACATTTGGCAGCAGGCAGTGGATCGGCAACATGGTCCCGGGCTGCGTTCAGCAGCTCGGCCTCCTAGCGTGTGGCAAGTGCAGCCCCTGCAGCTTCTGTCTGAGCCAGAGCCCGGCCTTCTCCGTCCCTTCTCTGGGGACGTTAGCACTCCCTTTCCTGCCCTCCTGTCTCTCTCACTCATATCCTTAGATCCTGGGGCTGTAGACCCTCGGTGGGTCTCAGGACACCGTGGGAACGCAGCCTGGCCTATGTGCAGTCCAGCTTCCCGGCCTCCTGGCCGGAAATAAAACATCAGAAATAGCAGCTACCATTTTATGCAGCACTTGGATGTCCTCTTGGAGTCGTGGGCCTCACATGCACGATCTCGTCTCATCCTTACCACAACCCTCTAAGGTGGATTCTTGTATCATTTCCACTTTATAGTCATTTTCATAACTGTCCCTTGGGCAGTCACTTAAGCTCTTTATAGTACACGACTTTCCATTAGCTCATGCACACCTCACAACATCACGATGAAGTAGGTACTCATCTTAGTCCCATTTTACAGCTGAGAAAACTGAGGCACAAAGAGGTGAGTAAGTAGTGGACCTGGGAATCAGGCACAAATATGGCTCCAGAGTTGATACCCTTAACCAGTTTGCATGCTATCTCCCAAAATGAGCAAAAACAGGTTCAGAGAAGTTAATCAACTTGCTCAAGGCCACAAAGCTAAGATGTGTTAGAATAAATCGTGGGACCCAGGTCTGCCTATTCAGAGCCCCATTCTTTATGCCATCGTGTTATGTTATACACACACACACACACACACACACACACACACACACACACACAACTACTAAAGAAATAAATGGAAAAAAACAAATAAATGAAAGCTGTGTGTGTCTTTTATTTGTTTATGTACTTATTTTTGACACAGTGGGGATTTAGAAACACACATTTGTACATATCTATGACAATTTCATTAATAGTAAATATATTTAAAACAAACCAGTGTTAATAATCCACGGCTGACTTTCTAATATGCAGAATCTAATGAGAACTGGAAAAATTACTTAAGTCATTGTCCCGAAAGGGATTAAGGAGAGAAACTAACCATACGAACATACTCTTTTAGTGCTAATCTTAGAAACTCTTCAAAGCAGGTCAGGTTTCCATGCTGATAAATGGAACAAAGCTCAGAAAGCTTAGCCACCAGGGACCTGAAGCTAAGACGGGCCCTAACCCAGGCCTGTTTGACCCCACAGACTGTCCTTTATCAGTCGCCTATGCTGCCTGTTCCACGGGTCCAAACTCTGAGGCAGGCCTTGGGTGTAGGTGCACAGGATGTGGGAGCAGATGGCCCAAGCAGCAGGAGTCAACTGTGACAATGCCTTCCCCTCTCTGCTGGCCAAAGCGCCCTGCCCTGTGTAGTGCCTTAGCGTGTCCAGGCATTCACAGTGGTGCATTACTCAGTGAGGCTCACATGGCAAAATTCAATTGCAAACTATCCTAAAGAAACGGGATTGTATCATTCTGCTCGGGAGCGTTTTGGCTTGGAAATAAGTGTGTTGGCATGTGCAGAAGCCAAGCTCGGTAGGTCCGTGTTTGCATTGTGCAAAGCAGCATGGGGCCTGCTGTTGGCTTGGAGGCAGGTACAGACCGGCCATGATCCCAGAATAGGGAAACCTCCCTATGTTCCCCAGAAGGGGCCACGGCAGAGCCAGAACTAGACTGTGCCTTGCAGGGTGGCTGCTTCTTCAGGTCCATAACTGCTGATGAGCTCATAGAAAAGAAGCCATAAATTGGCCATGGAGGGGGCTCAGTGGGTAGGGGCAGGGGTCCTTCGTACAGAGCAGCTGCAGGGGGAGAATGGAGGGAAGACGTTCTGCAGCTGCCCTCTTGCTCTCCCCTCTACCCCACCCTCCCCTGGATGAACCCAGCTCCCCTTGTCTTGGTGCCTTGGCAGGTGTCTGCCGTTCACACGGTTAAGCTGCCCCAGACCTGCCCGTGGAGGCCCCACCTTGCCACTCCCACCTGTCTGCTTCCAGAGCAGGAATTGCGCAAGAAACCCCACATGCGAGCTGCCATCAGGGAGACAGCCAAAGAGGCTCCCTGCCTGGGAGGCTGGGGCGGAAAGGCTAGCAGGCAGCTCTGCTACTGGAGCAGGGTGACATGGGCATGACACTTGAGTGCTGGACTGATCAGATGACAGAAAGCATAGATGAGAAGAGGCTTCCTTGGGAAGCGACCGTGGCTGCTAGCACTAACTGCTGTGGTAATGGCCTGTGGGTGACAAGAAGAGGTGCTTTATATAATATATGTGACCGGAGCGTAACTTCACCGGCTGGGGCAGTACATCACACACACCACAGTCCCTCACCTCTTCTCCACATGCCAAAAGCAAAAAGGAACCTGGCCACTAGAGACATGGAAGATGTAGATTTTACTGGAGTTTTTCTGGAGAAATGGAAGAAGGGTTTCCATCAAGCACTAGAGGATTTTCTTACAGCATTGTTGTTCCACCCTTCCAGTAGGAGCTGCCCTCCCTTTGGTCTGCCCTAAGATGCCCCCACAGCAGTCTCTCCTGTCACCTGGCTTTGTGTCCCTCACAACTGCCCCTCAAAAACCAGTTTTCACATCTTGCCCTGCAAAACAGAAGGGGTACCTCTTAGCAACACAGGAGTCCAGTTAGCAAATTGCAGCTCATAAGCCAGCCCTGGAAGCCTTACTTCCTCTAATCATATACCCATTATTTTTTACTTTATTAATTAAAAATTGATTTTATATTTTACTCAAACAGAAAATGACAAACACCCATGTACCCACCTAATCTGACTGATGTTAATATTTTCCCTTTTTT